AACACAGAGAAGGAGATAGGGAGAAAGCACTCCTCAATGGAACATGGTAATGCCATAATCCTTTTTTCTTCCATTTCTACATCCTATCAGTATTTTGAGCATGCACACACACGCCTGGAACATTTTTCAAGCCACTAGGCCAACATTCAAACCATGGTCAGCCACATGGCATTCAGCTCCCAAAGCACAGCATTTAGTTGCTGCATTACAGGGCCAGCCCCCAAACCATTTTTCAATAAAAACCACATCACCATGCTTCTAGATGCCAGTGATGTCCCCCCATTTTTTTAGCTCCTAAATATTAATCTGATTAGTTGGGCTTCTGCTTTCTCTTTCAAGTGAAAACATAAGATTATAAGAATTACATTCCCCATAATTATTAGTCTTAATAAAAAGGAAGCATATTCTGAGAGTCACAGGAAAAATAAAGTTGGACAGTTACTGAAAGAATATATATAGATTCTCTCTCTCTTCTCTCTCCTTGTGTTATCTTATCAAAGAAAACATTCTGAACTGCATATCATTTAGATATGCTTCTGGAGTTTTCCTCCTTATAAGTCTATGGCACAGTCTATACCCCAAGAACATATACTTGCAGTTGGAGAAAAGAGAAAAAAGTAGGAGTAAGGGGGAAATGCCTAGCATTCCAATATCACAAAATAACATGCAGTATTTCTGCATTTATTCATTCATTCATTCACTGGTTTTTATTTAGTACTTAGAAAGTCCAGAGCATTGCTCTAGAAGTTGGGACTACAACAAAAAATAATGTGTGAATGATGGTATATAAATGGACATATAAAAGAAAGAAGATAAGAAAGTAAATATGACAGCTCTTTGAAAATAAGAAAACACTACACACATATCTTTTGCTATTACCATCTCTGTCACATGAGGGTCGAGATAACTCTTGTGTACCACTATTATAATAGCTGCTTTTTCTCTCCACAAAGGAGAAAATATGTCTTAATGGAGCTGGAGTTTTCAAAGCAATTTTCAGTGGCAAAGTTTCTTGCTTAATGACACTTTCAAAATTCTATTAATCTACAGTTCGACACTTCTCAACTCTCATTCAGTCACAAAGGCAGAAGAAACACCCTATAATTCACATCGGCCTCTCCAATAAATCAATTGATTTAGCCTGTACAGGGTTCTAATCAACTTCTATTTTTTCCATCAATAAATCTCAGGTTTCATACCAACAAACAGCAGTGGGCCAAAATGAAAGATTTAACAAAAGTTTCAGCATGGTAGATGTTGAGTAAGTGCTCTGATACATTTCCACACTATAAACATTTAATGAGACTTGCTACCAACAGAGTATTTACTACATCAATTTATTTCATAGTATTATATTTGCAGGAGCAAAATAGAGCAAAGGTTATTTTGGATCCTTTACCAATATAGCTTCCTGTAAATAATGTAAAATGCAACCATTTAATTTTAAAAATCATTTGAAAAGTTAAATGGTCAATAAATTCTGCATTATCTATTTCAGACAGTCTAAGCAGCTATTTGTAACTTGGATATAAAAATGTATATATAAAATTCAGGCATTTTGTACTAGTTTGTGCATTCCTATCTCTGAATGGAAATGAATTTCAAAGGTTATTGAAGATAGCATTAGATCACAGGAAAATATCTTCAAGATTCCCTTCTGCCATGATCAAAAGTTATTCTGCATTTAGAAAACCTTTCTTGAGAAAAAGACTGTTACCATACCCTGCCCTCTCCCATTGAAAGGACACATACATGTTCATGTATACACACACATTTTTCTCCTGCTCTCCAACCACCGCCATTCCTCAGATGTAGCAGTCACTTTCTTTTCTTTTAAGAGAGAGAGGAAAAAGAACACCCTGTATAAGGAATGGTAATGCCATAATCCCTTCTTCTCCATTTTTCCCTCCTTTTGGGATCTTAGACAAACACACACACACACACACACACACACACACACACACACGTGGCATGTTTCTCAAGTCACTGGGTCTGAGACGAATCATGCAGTCAGCCACATGGGATCCAACTCCCTGAACCACGAGGCCATGAGCTGGCCCTACAGAAGTCACTTTCAATTAAAGTGAGATAAGAGAAGACTTTTCGAAAGGAGGGACAATTTGGAATTCTCTATCTACTTCTGTTATCCTAAGAACATAGAATTCAGTGTCTGCAATAAATTGGACCCCTTATAGTACTGTGAAAATGTAATAAACAATCCTACCCATTTACTCTAACAAATTTTACCTCACACAGTAGACACTTTCCAAATACAGAATATTTTTACTAAAATGACCCAGAGACAAAGCCTTATTTACCAAAAACTTATTCTACTTTTTTGATTTGGTTACAGTTACAATTCATCTGATGGCCCATATAGATGAAGAATCTTGTACAAATTATATCAAATTCTAATTAAGAGCCTAAAAATTTACCTTTGAGAACCCAAAGTGGCACAGAACTTAAAAGTTTTTCTGGAATCAGAAACTAGATTGATTAGAGAAAGCTTTCTGACTGGAGCAAGTTACATAACTTATGTCTCAGTTTTATTTTCTGTAAAACTAAAATAAAAATATGTAGCTTATGAGGACTCTGTAACAACTTACAATTCATGCAAAGTGTTTTTTAAAAAATATTATGTATCTAATTTGTTGGGGACTAACTCTCTACCAAGAGAAGAAAAAAGAAACTTTCAATCTTGTTATGAAGAAAAGATACGTATCTAATACACAAGATTATTGAGATTTCATTACACAAAACAGTTAGATGATATAGTATTTTAGAGTCATGATTAAACTTCTCCCGTATTTCTACTAATACTTTCTAATATTTTCACATAGATGCTAATAATTAGGAAAATAACCTTTCCACATGGATACCAATGATTAGGAACTTAAACAATTTAGATTAGAAATAAAGATAACTGTTTAAAGATCTGTAACTAAAGGGAAAGGTTATTCTAAATTTAAAATTAATCAATTATATAATAAGTCTATCATGAAAATAATGTTAGAAACGATATCGGTATTTTGTGTATTATGTGTATACTATTTAAGTTATCAGTAAAACTTTAATACTTTTCATTGAATTTATTTCTTTGTTATGAAAGAATCTGCCTCAAAATAGTCTAATTAATATCAATGATATCTCAATTATAGTAAGAACTATTATTTATTGAGTACTTACTATGTGGCGGGCAGTGCTCTAAGCATTTGTACATATATTATCAATTCATTGACTCTGACAACAACATTATGAAATAGGAACTATTATTCCCTCCCCATTTTATGGTCAAGAAAACTGAGAGTTATGTGAATAACTTTCCCAAGATCCCACAGGCAGTAAGAACCACAACGGGGAAGGAGCCTAAGCATTAGGGCTCCAATACCTTAACGTTAAGTGCTAATTACATTGCCTTTCATTAAGCAACTACCTATCTAACTGAGGTAGTTAATGATCTTTGGCATCAAAGTTGAATGTCTGATAAATATGTCAACCCAGTATGTTCAAAATTGAGTTTCTGATCTTCCTCTCCAAATCAGCTTCACTCACAGTCTTCCTCATCATGATTGATGAAAATTTCATCCATCCAGTTGCTCAAACCAAAAAAAGCCAATTGTGTAATTATCTATGGTAGACACAGAAATGTGCTGCCCATATCCCTCTTACAAATAGAACTTGCCATCCAGCTGTCAGTGAGGCCATCAGCTATCCTCAGGGTCTACATCAGCTACATAGGACCATCCTTCCACCACTAGAGGTCATATCCATTCCAGAGCAGGTGACTTGTATTCAGTGACTAAAAGAGGCATAAAAGCCTGCCCATTTCTGCCCAAAAAAGTATACCCCAAAGGGCAATGCTCTCTCCAAAGCTTCCTGATGACTGGCCCAGACTTTGTGCATCTGGCTCCCAGGTAGACTTCTTCCTCTGCCCAGTTCAGCTTCCTGCCTTTTCCATTCCTAGATGTCAATTCCTAGTTACTCCTTATATGTCAACTCCATTCTGTGTATGATTCTGGAGGACCCAGCCAGCAACATCAACCATCGCTCTTTCCTTCCTCTCACGTCAAACATTTATTCTGTCAAAAATACAGTTGACTCGGCTTACAAAATTTACCCTTGATGTCCACTGACACTATCTTGTTCCAAACTAAAATGAGCAGTGGAATGAGATAATACATGTGAAGCTTAAGGATGGAACCTGGGTTACTACAAGAGCCTCATGCCTGGTTTTCCAGCTTCTCTTCCTTGTTCCCCTTCAGATTATACATCATCTGCAACTGATGGTAGTCCTTTTAAGACACAAGCTTCATTGTATCACACTTCTGCTTAAAACCTGACTTTAGATTCCCATTTAATTCAGAGGAAAACCCTGAGTCCTTAAGTGCCTAATGGCCCTCCATAACCTGGTCCAATTGGCTCTCTAACATTAGTTTCAACTACTCATTCCCTCACTCTCTCCACCCAGGGGTTTTAGCTTCTGTGCTATCCTTTGAAGAGGGGACATGCCTTCAAGACTTTGCTCTGGATCTCCAGCTGCCGATTTCCTAACTTCCTAGAAGCATTGGTAACATCTCACCTTCTCAATGTAACATACTATACAATTTAGTTATTTACAATATTTATTGGTTTTGTTATTTGCCCATATGCTTTTGCTAGAATAGTATCCCTTATTAAGGGCAATGATCAGAGATGTATCCCAAGAATCTAGAACAATCTCAGTAATAACTAGTCACAGAGTAGAGTTGATTTATGTAAAATAAAATCATCATTTCAATCTACTTAACGATTCCAACACAAATTCATTGACTTCTTTGGCTGAGGTATAAAGGTCAGAAGTCTACTGATGAAATATTTTCCTGCTAATCAATTATTGGAAAACAAAAGAAGATGCTAGAAACTGATTGGGCAATTAAATTACAAAACATGGATCTGAAAACCTATTTATGTTTATTTCTTAAGCGATTTATTAAATTCTATTTGCCTTTCTCTCAACTTACCTCCAGCTCATCAAGGGCACTTCCCAGGGTTGCTGCCTCAGGTTCCGGTGGGGCCGGCATATTCTGGATGCCTTGGGAAGCATTTGAAATTACATTGAGGGCATTCTGAATTTCTTCACAGATGGTGTCCTTGCTGGCTTTGAGGGAAGCAACATCAGAATGCTCCAAGCAAGCTGAACAAATGGAATGCAAGAGCGGGGAGTTCTCCTTCAATGAAGCTCGGGCCCCTGCAATTTCATCCCTTTGGTTTGGAGATTTTAAGTCCTAAGAAGGGAAATAAAAAGAGTGGAATCATTATAATAGGTTATGGGGCAAAGACTTAAATAAACAAGTTTCATTTTTTTGTCAATATACATGAAAATATAAGATAATCATCTATAAGTTAAAATTAAGGACATGAATTATTTCTACATTCCTTCAGGTTCTGTTAAAAGAACTGCAACAAAGGGCCAGCCAGTGATGTGATGGTTAAAGCTGCTGGATCCCACAAGATCAAATGTGTGGTTCAAGTCCTGGACCAGGCAAATTAAAGACACATTGGGCATGCGCGCATGCACAGAATTCTGAGAGAAGAATGAAGGAGAAGGGATTGCTGTATGATCATCCCTCCAGAGGAACTTCCTCTCTTTTTTTCTCTCTCTCTCTCTTTCTCTCTCTCTCTCCAGTCTGTCTCCCTCTCTCATTCTCTCTTTGTCTCTCCCCAGTGATTGTATGCACCCTCTAACAAAAATTTAAAAAATATTTCTATGACAAGAAAGAGGAGACAGTTCACAATGAAAGGTCACAAGGTACAGAAGTGTAAAGGTGTAGCTCTTACATTTGTAAGTTGCATTCTTATAAGTTTCTAAAATACTCTGGCATTTACATTATAAAAAAGTTTAAATTACAAATACCTTTTCCCATTGGTACTGATAATTCATTTAACTTTTTCATTAAAACCAAACCAAGTGAGTTAAGAATACTAAATTAGGGGGACCAGCAGTTAGCATAATAGCTATGTCACTGGACTCCCACGTAGTCGACAGCGGTTCTAGTTCCGGACCCGGTGACTTAAACTCACGCTGGGCACGTGTGTGTGCGTGCCCAAGATCCTGAGAGGAGAATGGAGGAGAAGGGATTGTGGCATGGTCATCCCCCCTGGGGGATGATTTCCTGCTTTCTGTCTCTCTGTCTGTCTGGCAAGCACACATGCCCCATAGCAAAAACCTCTCCAAAAAAAAAAAGAATACTAAATTAGAGACCAGCAGTTGGCATAATGGCTATGTCAGCTGGACTCCCATGTACTTGACTGCAGTTGGAGTTCCAGACCTGGTGTGTGCCCAAGATCCTGAGAGGAGAATGGAGGAGAAGGGATTGCGGTGTGGCCATCCCCCCTGGGGGGGGGGTGATTTCTCGCTTTCTATCTCTCTGTCTCTCTCTGTCTTTCTGGCAAGTGCATGCGCCCTATAGCAAAAACCTCTCAAAAAACGAATACTAAATTAAACCTCTCACCATTCAGCTATTTTTCTTTTCCTTTTAAAAAATGCTAATTAATTCTGGATTATCCTTTCTCTGATATTTATTCAACTGATAGTTATCAAGCACTTAGCATATGCTAGCCCTCGTGCTAGACTACCCATGTACAGAATGTGAACAATTCTATAAGGAACTTGTTATTCTGAAGCTTTTGTTCTGATTTGGAGAAGAGGGGAGCCTACAGACAAGCAATAAACGACATAAGCAAAACATGAGACAATTTTCCAATAATGATAAACATAATAAAGGAAACACAAGTAAAATGTCACAGAAATTGACTTGAGATGAGAAAGCTACTTTCACTTGAGAGGTCAGAGAGAGTACTTCTGTGGAGATCACAATCTGCAATCAATCTAAATGAAGATCATTACAGTGTGAAGAGAGGGAAAAGAACGTCTTGTCTAAATGATAGTTGATCAAACCTAGTTCAAGGTATAGTGGGGGGAAAAAACTGACAAGCACCACCTTAACCAACAAATGAAAGATAACATCATCAGTGATGTCACATGGATATCACATCATGTATTCCTTGATTTAGAAGGACAAGAAGAGCACGTACTTAGGTTGTATATTCTCTCCAGAAACCTGTAACTCCACACTAATCATGAGAAAAACAACAAACAAAACTAGATGTGGGATCATCCTACATGATTCTTAAGCACTATTTCCCAAGATCATTAAGATCATGAAAAACAAGGATATTGGTAAACTGTCACAGATCACAGGAGACTGGGGAGACATGACAGCTAAATGCAATGTGATACCCTGATTGGATCCTGGAAAAGAAGAAGATATTCATGGAAAACTGGTTAAATCTAAATAAAGTTTATTAATAGTTAATAGTAATGCATCAATATTCACTTATTTGTTGTAGCAAATGATCAGATATTAAAAGTGGAGGAAACAGAGAAAGGTAGATGAGATCTCTTTGCACTACCTTTATAACTTTTCTGTAAATCTAAAATTATTCCAAATAAAAAGTTGATTTTTAAAAAGCTATTTTAAGGGAAATTTACAATAGCTTATGCACTTCGAATACAATATCTCATACAGTCTTCATAAAAACTCATGATAGATTTGATTCAGAGATTAAGTTTCTAAATCAAGCGGCAGAGATAGATGGTGGCATTTCTTGTAATCCAAGTCAGTGGGATTCCCAATTCCTGATCCTAAGAACAATGTTGTATTCTGAGCATGCATAGGAAGGATTTCTTTTATTTGCTGTACAAGGATGAGGACTTGTATCTCTATTATCTCTATTATCACTATATTTTATAAAGTACTTCTATATAGAAACGTATTGATCATCAAAACACTCTTGGAAGGAATGAGGCTAGATTATTAGCTCTATTTTAACTATAAACAGGTATTTAGTGTAAGGCGATTAAGAGATCAACAAAAATTTTAAATCTAAACCTAACTCTTCTGATTGCAAACCCCATGCTCTTACTTATTTTTCTTTTTTTTTTCTTTTTACAAGGTTCTGCTACATGCGATAATGTTGCCTGAGGTTAATAAATGGCTTGCGATACTATATATTTTTAGTTCCTTCTCTTCTGAAAATAAAGGCTGTCTGCTACTTCAAGCAAGCTCTGAAGAGATTAACTTCTTTATAAGATGTAGGGAGGACAGTTAGAAGTAGCTGTCAACTCACTGTTTCTACACATTAATTACCCAAGAAATGATCCTGTGGTTTTCTTGGCTTGCTGTGATTTCCCTTCTGTATTTCTGGTCTGGGTTCTAGTTTCAGCTCAGTCATTAACACTACGAGCTGGGTTAGATCATCTTCTCTTTCCATATCTATTTTCCCATATGTAAACAGAGGGATAATGATACTTCTGCCAATCTTCTCACAAGATTGAGTATATAGCACATCAGAAATGGAACATATGTGAAAAACAATAAAGAATTATAGGAGTATGAAACTATTTTATTCTTTAAACCTAGCAAACTAAGTATATGTTATTTTGTTCTGTGACTCCCCACAGAAAAATTCCCAAATCCCCTGTAATTTTCTAGCACTTATGTATATTGATTATAGTGTGACATAGAAAAAATAGTTTAGAAAACATGCATATCTCCTCAGAAGAGTAATGATAAAAAAGTATAAAAATCCAAGAAGGGATAAAGAAAATTTTCTTTATATTGCAGTATAATCAGAACTTATTACATAATTCTCTCAATTCACTCTAAAGAGAACTACATATTATTTTATTTAGAATGGCAAGGTCAATATTCAGATAGTTCTGTTAAAAATTACCTATTGCTCCAATGATAATTATTTGTATCTAATTGAAGAGTGTGGTAACTTTAATGCTGTAGAGACTTAAAATTCTTAAAATTCAAATATATTTTGACTTTTGAGCTTCAACTTTCTCATTTGTGCCCAAGGCAATTACAGAATCCTTAATGAGCACGGCTATCCCAAATAGCAAGCCCACGAAGCCTGCCAGAAAGGACTGGCTCCCCCGCCAGCCATAACAAAAATAATATATTATGGGAGAGGGTAGGAGAAAGAAGGGCAGGTAAGAAAGGTGAAGTAAGGGAAATTGAGAAGTCAGGACTATTTCTCCCAAAGCGTATCAAACATGGTTAATTACTACAGTAAGTAAGCACATAGAGAAAAGGGAACCAAGGACTTTCATCCTCCTCTACAGAACGTTGTTGTGGTATCTGTGATTGCTTTATTTTAAGTGGTGGTAGTATGGGTTCAAAGTTTTGTATGTTGTCCATTTATCCTATAATTTTAAATTAGGTCAAAATAGTAATCAAATGGTAGGACCAAATAGGAATTTGTCTGGATGAAGAAATATAAAGAATTCAGCTCCTCAAGGATTAATATTTATTTAATACCTTTAAGAAATGCTCCAGCAAAAAAAGCTCACATGAGACTTTCAAGTTAAGGAGACATTAAATCTTCTAACTGATGAAGAAACACACAGATGGAATTTAAAAAGAAGACCTTACACGTCTGTGCAAGTGGGTAGAGAAGTAACATATGAATTTTAACCCTGGCAAGAGAACAAAATATATTTTGGGATTTTAAAGATCATAAAGCATAAAAATGGAGCACTCTAAGCTATCAATTAATTGAACCAGTCATTGTATAAGTATTGCTGAGTCTCTACTGTACATCAGGCAATGTGCTAAATGTCAGGAATGCAAATATAAAGAACGCATAGGACAAAAAGTAAGACAAATAAACAAATGTATATGGAACTAATTCACAACATGGAGAAAAGTCCCTCAGCTTGAATGGCTTAGAGAAAATTTAACAGAGGAGGTAAATAATTTTAACCAGCTTTACTGAAGTATAATGACAAATAAAAATTGAACACATTCAAGGTACACAACATGTTTTGAAATGATTACCACAATCAAACCCATCACCACATAGTCACCCTCTGTGTGTGGGAAGAGGGGGGTGAGGACACTTAAGATTACATTCTGAGCAAATTTCAAGTCGAAGACAAAGTATTAACTATTGTCACCATGTACGTTATATCCCCAGAAAGCATTCATCTTGTAACTGAAACTTTGTACCCTTTGATCAACATTCCTCCATATCCTCCATGCCCCAGCTCTTGACAATCACCATGAAAGTCTCTACTTCTCTGAGCTCAATGCTTTAACATTACATATAAATGACATCATATAGGATTTGTCTTTCTGTTCATACTTAATTTAACTTAGCATGGTGCCCTGCAAGTTCATCCAAGTTGTTGTAAATGGCAAGATTTCAGGGTTTT